GCTCGAGACATCCTGTCAAAATCATCTGAATTCCTACGCGCGGGACGCTGCACGCGCGAGACATCCTCGGAATTCCTGCGAGCGGGACGTGAAAACAAGCATTTCGCCTGAGACATCCTTTGAATTCTGGCCCCCCACGAGGCCACCGCTCGAGACATCCTCCAATTTTGCAAAACCAGCGTTTCGCTCGAGACATCCTCAACAAATTATGAAAAACAAGCGTTTCGCTCGAGACATCCTGTCAAAATCCCAAGAAATCCAAATACCCGCGCGCGGGACGCGGCACGCGCGAGACATCCTTGGAATTCCTGCGCGAGGGGCGCTTTTCCGTGTCGCGGTCGGCTCTGCAAAACCAGCGTGTCGCTCGAGACATCCTCAACAAATTCTGAAACCAAGCGTTTCGCTCGAGACATCCCCAACTCTGCAAAACCAGCGTCTCGCTCGAGACATCCTCAACAAATTCTGAAAAACAAGCGTTTCGCTCGAGACATCCTCAAAAATAATGTCGCCGGCCCTACTCCGTGCGTGCCCGCTCGCAAAATAATTTCGCCGGCCCAAGTCGCAGGGGGGCCGGGGGGTTAACCAACTAAAAGAGAACCCTGGGCCCACGCCCTTTCCGGGAACAAGATCGGGCCGCTCTCGGTGAGATCGCAGGCCTCGGCCTGCGGCGGAGACGGCGGTTGGGGGGGCCCGATTCGGGCGCTGGACCCTGTCAGGAGGCTTGGGTCCATCTCCATGTCCTCCTGAATGCCATTAAGTTTCGTGTTTCGGGTTCTACCTGCACATTTAGAAAAGCTTGCCTAAGATCAAGAGATGCAAAAAATCTTCCGTTCCAAAACACAAGGACATGATCGACCCACGAACCCGGAAAGGAATATAGAAATGTAAGACATGGTAACGTTTCAAAGACACCTGATTGGGCGACGGGCAAATGCAATGCTTAATGTATCGACCTTGATGTACCGTGCCGAGGGCTGTGCTGTGCTGTGCCGTGCTGAATTGCGATGTGCCATGCCACGAATGTGCTCTATAGCGTTGTGGATCGAGTCCTCCTTTGCATCCGAGTCCTGACCGAACTGATCTGGATCTTAAGCTCGAGCTGCCTAAGCACATAACTAGTAGCTGCCCCAGAGTTGATTGACAAGGGAACATGCCAGGAGGACGCGCCGCAGAACTTCCCAAGGGACGCGCCAGGCGACGTGCCAGGGGACGTGTCATGGGGTCGCACCGCGGGACGTGCCAAGGGGACGCGCTACGGAATGTGCCAATGGACGTGCCACGGGACGTGCCAAGAGACGCACCAAGCGAGGTGTCAGGGGACGTGCCACGGGGACGCACCGCGGGACGTGCCAAGGGGACGCGCTACGGAACGTGCCAATGGACGTGCCACGGGACGTGCCAGGGGACGCGCCGCGCGACGTGCCAGGGGGACTCGCCACAGGACGCGCCACGGAACGTGCCAAAGAACGTGCCAAGTTGCAATGCTGAGTGAGTGTATCGATCTTGATGTACCGTGCCGCGGGCTGTGCTGTGCTGCGCCGTGCTGAACTGCGATGTGCCACGTGACGATTGTGCTCTATAGCGTTGTGGATCGAGTCCTCCTTTGCATCCGAGTCCTAACCGAACTGATCTGGATCTTAAGCTCGAGCTGCCTGAGCACATAGTAGCTGCCCCAGAGCTAATTCACGGGGGGCATGCTAGGAAGACGCGCCGCCGAAAGTTCCAAGGGACGCGCCAGGCGACGTGCCAGGGGACGTGCCATGGGGACGCACCGCGGGACGTGCCAAGGGGACGCGCTACGGAACGTGCCAATGCATTATGGACGTGCCACGGGACGTGCCAGGGGACGCGCCGCGCGACGTGCCAGGGGGACTCGCCACAGGACGCGCCACGGAACGTGCCAAAGAACGTGCCAAGTTGCAATGCTGAGTGAGTGTACCGATCTTGATGTAATGTGCCGAGGGCTGTGCTGTGCTGCGCCGTGCTGAACTGCGATGTGCCATGCCGCGATTGTGCTCTACAGCGTTGTGGATCAAGTCCTCCGTTGCATCCGAGTCCTGACCGAACTGATCTGGATCTTAAGCTCGAGCTGCCTGAGCACATAGTCCACGAAGTAGCTGCCGCAGAGCTAATTGACAAGGAATTATGCCAGGAAGACGCGCCGCGGAACGTTCCAAGGGACGCGCCAGGCGACGTGCCAGGGGACGTGCCACGGGGACGCACCGCGAGACGTGCCAAGGGGACGCGCTACAGAACGTGCTGGGGACAAGCGTCGTGTTGGTGGCCTGGACACGTAAAAACACGGTGCCAGCTCGGGACAACCATGAGAGATACCCCCTGGGTGGCCTGGACACGTAAAACACGTGGTTCCAGCTCGGGACAATCATGTTAGAGATCTCCCTGGGTGGCCTGAGCATGAAAAAACACGTGGTTCCAGCTCGGGACAGCCATGTTAGATACCCCTCTGCGTGACTTGGATACGCTGAATTCGCGCTCCCGCTCGAGACATCCTCACAACGTCTTCCCTGGAGAGGCCCCCAAAGCGCACCCCCCTGTTCAGAGCAAGAAACCAACACTGTTCCTCATAATTCGGCGTTGGGCCCGACGCCATGTTAGATACCCCAACTCTGCAAAACCAGCGTTTCGCTCGAGACATCCTCAACAAATTCTGAAAAGCAAGCGTTTCGCTCGAGACATCCCCCAACTCTGCAAAACCAGCGTTTCGCTCGAGACATCCTCAACAAATTATGAAAAACAAGCGTTTCGCTCGAGACATCCTGTCAAAATCCCAAGAAATCTAAATTCCTGCGCGCGGGACGCGGCACGCGCGAGACATCCTCAGAATTCCTGCGCGAGGGGCGCTTTTCCGTGTCGCGGTCGGCTCTGCAAAACCAGCGTTTCGCCTGAGACATCTTCAACAAATTCTGAAACCAAGCGTTTCGCTCGAGACATCCCCAACTCTGCAAAACCAGCATTTCGCTCGAGACATCCTCAACACATTCTGAAAAACAAACGTTTCGCTCGAGACATCCTCAAAAATAATTCCGCCGGCCCTACTCCCGTTCGTAATTTATCGCAGAATAATTTCGCCGGCCCTACAGCCGTCGAAACCGGGGGTAAGCCTCTAAAAGAGAACCCTGGGCTCGAGCCCTTTCCGGGAAAAACGCCAAGACGCGCCAAGAGGGCCCCAAGCAAGCCCAAGAAGAGGACCACGAACCGACATTTCGAGCTTCCCGCCCCAAGAAGCCCCCGAAGGCCCCAAGAGCCCCTCAAGGAGCCCGAAGAGGCCCCCAAGAGACCCCCAAGAGACCCCCAAGAGACCCCCAAGAGGCCCCAACAAGCCCGAAAATATCCAAGAGGCCTTTCAACCACAACCCCAGCACGGTGGCGGGAAGGGCCGCAGGCCACACGGCTCCCTGTCTGTCTCTGCTACGACTCCCTCGGCCCACATGGGGAACATCTCCTTCGCCTTCTCCTGCTCCCTTCCACCTTCACCCCCCTCGTCCTCCTCCTCCTCTTGCTCCTCCTCCTCCTCGCATTCGTCGTCGTCGTCAGGGTCGCGGCACCAGCCGTAAGGCCTTAGCAATATACAGAGGATCGCGATGGTGGTCAAAATCGCAGTCCAATGATTGTAGCCATGATGAAAGAGCCGCAAAATAGCTACATGTCGATCGTCGCTCCTGCTTGCGAGAAGTATGTCAAGTGAAGGCGCGAACCGCGAGTGCGATTCTGAACCGCGCCGTCTGGACAAAACACGCCCCCAAAAAACATCCTTGGTCAGATCCAAAACATAATGCACGGTGGATGCAAGATGGGAGACCGGCGTAGGAGTTCCCTGGCCCCCCCTCCCTGGACCCCCCCAGAAAAAAGAACGTGAAAACAAGCATTTCGCCTGAGACATCCTCTGAATTCTGGCCCCCCACGAGGCCCCCGCTCGAGACATCCCCAAGTTTGCAGAAACCAGCGTTTCGCTCGAGACATCCTCAACAAATTATGAAAAACAAGCGTTTCGCTCGAGACATCCGGTCAAAATTCTAAGAAATCCTGACAAAACAAACGAATTAGTCGAGACATCCTCGAAATTCCTGCGCGCGGGACGCGGCCCGCGCGAGACATCCTTGGAATTCCCGCGAGCGGGACACGAAAACAAGCATTTCGCCTGAGACATCCTCTGAATTCTGGCCCCCCGCTCGAGACATCTCCAAATTTTGCGGAAACCAGCGTTTCGCTCGAGACATCCTCCACAAACTATGTAAAATAAGCGTTTCGCTCGAGACATCCTGCCAAAGTTCTAAGAAATCCTGACAAAACAAGCGAATTAGTCGAGACATCCTCGAAATTCCTGCGCGCGGGACGCGGCACGCGCGAGACATCCTCGGAATTCCTGCGCGCGGGGCGCTTTTCCGAGTCGCGGTCGGGGCTCCAGACCCCGTTATTTTTCGAGGATTCTGCGAAAAACGCTCCGCACCCTCTTTTTTACGAGGGAAAGCGGGGGTCTGCGGACCCCGTTATTTATCGAGGATCCGAGATGGGGGGCGAACTTTCCTCGAGCGGGCACGCACAAAACGCACTTTTTCTAAAAAAATCAGCACTTTACCTCGTTATTTATCGCAAATAATTTCGCCGGCGCTTGACCCGTCAGATCCGGGGGTAAACGGCTAAAAGAGAACCCTGGGCCCGCGCCCTTTCCGGGAAAAAAGAGACCGATAATATGTACGAAATATAAACAGATCATGTTTATATATCTATATGTTATAAAAGAACGTCCTCTCCTCTTTCCCACAAGGAGCACAGGCACCAGCACATCAGCCCTCGGCGGTGCGCCGCGAAAGGGTCTCCGCGGGTGCTGATCCAAGGAAATCCTCGCGGACCTCCGAAAACCTCGATCCTCGCGCCTCGAGCCTCGATCCTCGATCCTCGCTCGATCCTCGATGTGTGGGCTGCTCTTCCTCGACTCTCCCCGTCGCTCCCCGCCGCCAGACGCCGTTCACGCGGAGCACCTTCGGCAGCGACTGCATCTTGCTTCGGACGTCCTCGTCGCAGAGTGCTGGGCGAGGAGGCAGGTCTGGGGGTCGTGGCATCCCCGCTGCCTCATCGCTTTCACTCCCAAACTTCCAGGACGGGCTGATGGCATACGAACCCAGACCCCGGACGTCATGATTTTTCATAACGTCGACCAGCAGAGGTCTCAACCCATTCCCCGGGACCGGCTTTTCATTCTGAATCGTTGTTTGACGGTCCCGAGGCCCGGTGAGGGCCTCGAGAGGCCGAAAATATGGAATAACATCCCGTCGTGATTTTTTATGGCCCGAGGGTGCCTGAAAAATGAGGACGATGATGCCAGCTCCAGCTGTGCACCCATTGTGCTGCAGTGGTGCCCGTCGCTTGCCGTGCTGCACACAGCAGCCATCAGAACCAGCGCGCATGCGCCATGGGGGGCCCGCGGGCAGGGCTGAGCTCTGCCACCTGCTCCGACGGTCACACCAAGCAATGCCATCCCCCGCACTCCTCTTCCTCCTCCTCCTCCTCCTCCTCCTCCTCCCCCATCCTCCTCCTCCTCCTCCTCCTCCTCCTCCTCCTCCTCCTCCTCCTCCTCCTCCTCCTCCTCCTCCTCCTCCTCCTTCTCCTCGCGGCTTGGCTGGCCCGCTCGTGCCTAGCGCTGCCAACTTAGGTGTTGATGATGCTGCAGGCAAGCCGCGCCGACGACAGGGCCGATCCAGCAAAGCTAAGTCCAGGGGAAAGAAATCGAGGGCTTTTTGTGGGAGGCTTGCCCGCCTTCGCCCGATTGTCGGGAGCCGTGTTGCTCGTCGGGTTTTCGCCTCGGGATATATGGCCAGTAACTTGTTTGGGGCCGACATCCATGGGGTCACGGATTTCGAGCTATTGAATTTCCGTCGGCAGGCGGCTGCTGTTCTTCAACCGTCGGCCAAGGGCCGATCTCTCACGTGCTTGCTTCTGGCGTACCAGGAGCCCTGCTGGCTTGCGGCGGTGGCGCGGATTGTCCGATGGGCCAAGGCAGTTTGGATTTCCCACCACGCTTTGTAATATATTTTGCTGTGCCTCTTCCTGAGCTCAGAGAGGCTTGGGAGACGGGTTTCCGTGGGGAGTCGGTCCTCTGGAACATGATGGACCCACGAACCCGGAAAGGGATATAGACATGTGGAGCATGGACACGTTTTCATGATACCCAACTGGGCAACACCTCACGAAACATCCCACGAGACACCTCACGAAACAGCCCACGAGACACCTCACGAAACATTCCACGAGACACCTCACGAAACATTTCACGAGACACCCCGCGAAACATTCCACGAGACACCCCCGAAACATTCCACGACGACAGGCAACCACTCAACCAAGGCGGTGTGGTCGTGCTGGGGAGTGGTCGTGCTGGGGTGTGGTCGTGCTGGGGGGTGGTCGTGCTGGGGGGTGGTCGTGCTGGGGGGGTGGTCGTGCTGGGGGTGGTCGTGCTGGGGCGTGGTCGTGCTGGGGCGTGGTCGTGCTGGGGCGTGGTCGTGCTGGGGCGTGGTCGTGCTGGGGCGTGGTCGTGCTGGGGTGTGGTCGTGCTGTGGTAAGGTCGTGCTGGGGAGCGGTCGTGCTGGGGTGTGGTCTTGCTGGGGTGGGGTCGTGCTGGGGTGTGATCGTGCTGGGGTGGGGTCGTGCTGGGGTGTGGTCGTGCTGGGGTGTGTTCGTGCTAGGGTGGGGTCGTGCTGGGGTGGGGTCGTGCTGGGGAGTGGTCGTGCTGGGGTGTGGTCGTGCTGGGGTGTGGTCATGCTGGGGCGTGGTCGTGCTGGGGTGGGGTCGTGCTGTGGTGGGGTCGTGCTGGGGTGGGTTCGTGCTGGGGTGCTCCGCACCCTGATTTATCGATGGGTCGTGCTGGGTGTGGTCGTGCTGGGGTGTGGTCCGTGCTGGGGTGTGGTCGTCTGGGTGTGTCGAGCTGGTGGGTCGTGCTGGGGAGTGGTCGTGCTGGGTTGGTCGGATGCGGGTGTGGTCGTGCTGGGGGGTGGTCGTGCTGGGGGGTGGCGTTGCTGGGGGGTGGTCGTGCTGGTCGTTCTGCGGGCTGGTCGTGCTGGGGCGTGTCGTGCTGGGCGGGGGCGTGTCGTGCTGTGGTGAGGTCGTGCTGGGGTGTGGTCGTGCTGGGGTGTGGTCTTGCTGGGGTAGGGTCGTGCTGGGTCGGGTCGTGCTGGGGTGTGGTCGTGCTGGGGTATGGTCGTGCTGGGGTGGGGTCGTGCTGGGGTGGGGTCGTGCTGGGGTCTGGTCGTGCTGGGGTGTGGTCGTGCTGGGGTATGGTCGTGCTAGCGTCGCGGTCGGCTCTGCAAAACAAGCGTTTCGCTCGAGACATCCTCGGCAAACTCTGCGGAGCAAGCGTTTCGCTCGAGACATCCTCAACACACGAAAAAGTGTCCCGCACCCTGTGATTTATCGATCGGGATTTCAAAAACAAGCGTTTCGCTCGAGACATCCTCAAATTTTAATTCGCCGGCCTCCTTCGACCTCGATATTTATCAGGGAAAAAATTCGCCGGCCACCTTCAAGTTGGCACCGGGGGACAGGTTTACCCACTAAAAGAGAACCCTGGGCCCATGCCCTTTCCGGGAAACATGATGGACCCACGAACCCGGAAAGGGATATAGACATGTGGAGCATGGGCACGTTTTCACGATACCCAACGGGGCAACACCTCACGAAACATCCCACGAGACACCTCACGAAACATCCCACAAGACACCTCACGAAACATTCCGCGAGACACCTCACGAAACATTCCAGGAGACACCCCGCGAAACATTCCACGAGACACCCCACGAAACATTCCACGACGACAGGCAACCACTCAATCAAGGCGGTGTGGTCGTGCTGGGGAGTGGTCGTGCTGGGGTGTGGTCGTGCTGGGGGGTGGTCGTGCTGGGGGGTGGTCGTGCTGGGGGGGTGGTCGTGCTGGGGGGTGGTCGTGCTGGGGCGTGGTCGTGCTGGGGCGTGGTCGTGCTGGGGCGTGGTCGTGCTGGGGCGGGGTCGTGCTGGGGCGTGGTCGTGCTGGGGTGTGGTCGTGCTGTGGTAAGGTCGTGCTGGGGTGCGGTCGTGCTGGGGTGTGGTCTTGCTGGGGTGGGGTCGTGCTGGGGTGTGATCGTGCTGGGGTGGGGTCGTGCTGGGGTGTGGTCGTGCTGGGGCGTGGTCGTGCTAGGTTGGGTCTGCGGGGTGGTACTGCAGGGTGGACTGCTGGGTTGGGCGTGCTGGGTGTGGTTCATGGGTAGGTTTGAGGGCTGGGTGGTCGTGCTGGGGTGGGTTCGTGCTGGGGTGCTCCGCACCCTGTGATTTATCGATCGGGTCGTGCTGGGGTGTGGTCGTGCTGGGGTGTGGTCGTGCTGGGGTGTGTCGTGCTGGGGTGTGGTCGTGCTGGGGTGTGGTCGTGCTGGGGAGTGGTCGTGCTGGGGTGTGGTCGTGCTGGGGGGTGGTCGTGCTCGGGGGTGGTCGTGCTGGGGGGGTGGTCGTGCTGGGGTGTGGTCGTGCTGGGGCGTGGTCGTGCTGGGGCGTGGTCGTGCTGGGGCGTGGTCGTGCTGGGGTGTGGTCGTGCTGTGGTGAGGTCGTGCTGGGGTGTGGTCGTGCTGGGGTGTGGTCTTGCTGGGGTAGGGTCGTGCTGGGGTCAGGTCGTGCTGGGGTGTGGTCGTGCTGGGGTAGGGTCGTGCTGGGGTCGGGTCGTGCTGGGGTGTGGTCGTGCTGGGGTATGGTCGTGCTGGGGTGGGGTCGTGCTGGGGTGGGGTCGTGCTGGGGTCTGGTCGTGCTGGGGTGTGGTCGTGCTGGGGTATGGTCGTGCTATGTGGGGTCGTGCATTTCGCTCGAGACATCCTGCCAAAATTCCAGGAAATCGTACACCATGATGGACCCACGAACCCGGAAAAGGATATAGACATGTGGAGCATGGGCACGTTTTCACGATACCCAACGGGGCAACACCTCACGAAACATCCCACGAGACACCTCACGAAACATCCCACGAGACACCTCACGAAACATTCCGCGAGACACCTCACGAAACATTCCAGGAGACTCCCCGCGAAACATTCCACGAGACACCCCACGAAACATTCCACGACGACAGGCAACCACTCAACCAAGGCGGTGTGGTCGTGCTGGGGAGTGGTCGTGCTGGGGTGTGGTCGTGCTGGGGGGTGGTCGTGCTGGGGTGTGGTCGTGCTGGGGGGGTGGGCGTGCTGGGGGGTGGTTGTGCTGGGGCGTGGTCGTGCTGGGGCGTGGTCGTGCTGGGGTGTGTCGTGCTGGTGAGTCGTGCTGGGTGTGGTCGTGCTTGGTGTTGGCATTGCTAGGGGCGGGGGGGGGTCCCGTGGCTGGGGGGTGGTCGTCTGGGGTGGGGTCGTGACTGGGTTTGGTCGTGCTGGGGTGTGGTCGTGCAGGGGTGTGTCGTGCTGGTGTGGTCGTGCTGGGATGGTCGTGCTCTGGTGTGGGTCGATGGCTGGGCGTGGCGGCTGGGGTTGGTCGTCCTGGGTGTGGTCGTGCTGGGAGTGGTCGTGCGGGCGTGGTCGTGCTGGGGCGTGGTCGTGCTGGGGCGTGGTCGTGCTGGGGCGTGGTCGTGCTGGGGTGTGGTCGTGCTGTGGTGAGGTCGTGCTGGGGTGTGGTCGTGCTGGGGGGTGGTCTTGCTGGGGTAGGGTCGTGCTGGGGTCGGGTCGTGCTGGGGTGTGGTCGTGCTGGGGTATGGTCGTGCTGGGGTGGGGTCGTGCTGGGGTGGGGTCGTGCTGGGGTCTGGTCGTGCTGGGGTGTGGTCGTGCTGGGGGATGGTCGTGCTAGGGTGGGGTCGTGCAGTTCGCTCGAGACATCCTGCCAAAATTCCAGGAAATCGTACAATAAACAAAGAATTAATAACAATTAAAACAATAAATAAAATTAAAAAAAAAAAAAAATAATAAAAAAAAAAAATACAAAAAAGAGTCGAGACATCATCGAAATTCCTTCGCGCGGGGCGCTTTTCCGCGTCGCGGTCGGCTCAGCAAAACAAGCGTTTCGCTCGAGACATCCTCGG